GCAATTTTCCATATTAAGAGAGTTGGTCACACAAGTTATTTGACAAGTAATCAAAAGTAATTAAGACTCAACTCATGATTATCATTATCAGGGTCATAATACAAACAATCATGTGCCCTTACTCATTACATGCATGATCACACCTCCCTTATATCCTTCTTATTCCTCTGATATGAAACTGTGAGTTATAATATAATAGGATAGTCTATATGCCATGACTTCCTTAGCCTAAACACTTCTGAGGGGATTACCCGACCAAGGCACACCCAACTCACTTATGAAACATGGTTTCCTCCATTTCTCATACTATGGGTGTCATGCACCCTAAACTGGCTTCCTTGTTGAACCAGTGGATAGCTAGTTAGGTTCGAATCTTTCATTGAACTAGTGAAACAGTCTCTTATTAAACAAGTGGGATAATATAGATATAATTAATTCGGCAGACCATCACACAGATGGGGTCTTACCATATGGGTTTTATCATCCATTCATCTTCCTAAGCGAACTTTTACCTTTCAAGATCATACAATGCATTTTCATGTAATAATTCACACTTTATATAATTCATAAAACTCCATATAATCAATTTCATTGAACTTTATCATTATACAAGTTATTAGACTTCTTAAACATATTTTCATAAAACTTCAAACCAAATAAGTCATTGAACTCTAATTTCTCAATCATTGTAAATCATTGAACTCCACTATTTTAAACATTATTGAACTTTTCATAAACAAAGATTCATGTTACTTCTAAAATCACAAAGTCATTGAACTCTCAATAAACATAATACAAAAATTTATTAATATTGTTCTCAAAGAATTTCACATCACAAGGCATAAAACTTCACATAATCAATTTAGTGAATTTTTTTAATAAATCAAGTCACACTTGCATTTCATTTTAATTTACACATTTCAATGATCAATTATAAATTCATAAACTAATAAACACATAAAAGCATAAGATAAAATTTTTTTAGTTACCTCAAATCTTTAAGAGATCAAAAGTTTCAACCCCCAACTACTCACTCCCAAAGCTTTCAAGAAGTTTGAATGGTGTTAGTGATAATCACTCTACAAGCATTTACTATGCAAAACATCAATATCTATATTTGAGCTATTTTTTATTGACATTTTAACATTTCTTAATACTCAAGATTTATTCTTGACTCATATAAAAGTACCCATAAGATTTCTTAGCTTCCTTTAACCTTCATTAATAACATTGAGCTTTTAAATAGTCATTAATGAAATCACATTGTTCCCAACGATCATATTTATGAGAATTTCGGACATTTAATATCCTCCAATATCAATCATTATAAAATCATAAATATCAAATTTACTCAGCTTAATCTACTCCTATTAACTCTATTTAAGTCAATAGGTTTGGACTTATAGTCTCTATGGATTGAAAACCACCATTATCAATCAAATCCTAACTTCTACCATTAAGAAAATGGAAGAAGAGAGAAAGATTTAAGTAAGAAAGCTTAATTTTAGTGTTTATGAGCTTCAAATTACTCCTACAAGTCGGTTTCTTTAAGCTCTAGCTCAACTCTTTCATCTCTCTCTCGGTTCCCTTTGTTTTTCTCTTCTCTTTTGCTTCAATTTTGTGACTTAATACCGTAGAAATTTGACCATGCGCCACGGAAAGCCTCTTCCAAGCATGTTGTCACATATGCACCACAGCGACTCCTTAAAAAAACTTCGACGTGTGGCATATAACCACTTCTTCAGAAATTCTTCCTCTTCCATTCTCGGGTAACCCGATTCTCCTTTAAATTCGCATTTAGATTTGAAATTGAGACCAAACACGTCCGTTAGGTCTCTCTAGCCACGCACCTTACTGATACACTTAATTAATCTATTTGAGCTTAATTAATCTGATTTAAAATTAAGAATGCTACAGATATCATTCTCAAATCATTTAATATGATCAAAATTACTATTCACATTTTTCATTCACAATGGCATGTACTTATGGAATGATGACTTGGTAACACAATTTCACATGGATAAAAGGCTAATTATATGAGTTTCATCACTAGGGTCACAATATAGATAATCATATGCCTTTGTCATTATATATATAATCACACCTTCCTTGTATCTTTCTAATACCTTTGACACAAAACTGTGGGTTATAACATACTGGGATCGTCTATGAAATTAAGACTACCCTAGTCATTCACGCGTGAGGGACTACTTAGCCAAGGTTGCTTATTTTACTTATGGTTCATGGTTTCTCCCAAACTCTCACACCACGTGGAGTCATTCTTCCTAAATTAGCTTCCTCATTAAACAAGTAAAAAACTAGCTAGGTTTGAGTCCTTCATTGAACAAGTAGGACAATCCCTCATTGAACAAGTGAGATGATAAATATAATAAATCTAGGCAAACTATTGAGCTCAGATGATAGCCTTATCACGTGAATTTTAATTCCCTACTTTTCTTCCTAAGTGAACTCTCACCTCTCATGACTATGCAATGCATAATAATGCAACATTTTAAGGCATGCAATTATTCTAAGCACATGCATGCAAAATATCATCATTGTATTCAATTTACAAATGAATATTACATAAACACGCATAACCAAGTCATTAAACTCTACTTTACTTTATATTGTCAAACTCCTTATTGTACACTTTCGTGGAACTCCATGAATAACACATAGTCATTAAACTATATTAATAAACCATATTATTGAACTCCAAATAAACCATGTCATAGAACTCCACTAATACTTTTTCATAGAGTTTCACACGTACCACGTCATTGAACTTTACAATTTTATAAAAATTTCTTTTTAAGTAATTTATATCACACTTACATTTATAACAAGTTCACATACTTCAATTATGAGGTATAAATTAATAAATCAATTAACACACAAAAAAATAAGAAATATTTCTTTTGATTACTTCAGACCTTTTGAAAGGTCAAATGATTACCCCTTAAATTTACACTTACAAAGCTTGAATAGTGTCAATAGATAATGGGTCTACAATTGGTCATGACATAGTAGTTAATATACTTTTTTAGGATAATTTTTGACACTTAGTTCAACACTTCAATACACCTTAAATTTAATCTCCTTTAGTACAAAGGTACCTATAGGATTTATGAGCTTTCTTTAACTTCTATTAACTTCAGTGAACTCCTAAATCACTATTAATAGAGCTACATTGCTCTAACTACCTCATTTATGGTAGATTTTTAGGTATTTATTACCCCACAACCACCAAGACCCATAACACCATAAATGCTAGGTTTAAGTAGCTTAAACAACTTTCATTAACTCTATTTAAATCAATGGGTTCAAACCCATAGTTTCTGTGGATCAAAAATCATCTTTCTAAACCAAATCCTAACTTCTGACGTTAAGAAAAATGGAAGAGAAAGAGAGGTTTAAACTTAAAAAACTTACATCTAGTGTTTAAAAGCTTCAAAATACTTTTAATACTTTCAAATCCTAAGCCTTAATAGAGCTCCTTGCATTCCCTTCATTCACTCTTTTGTTTCTATCGTCTTCTGCATCAGTTTCGCGTTCTTATTTCTGCAAATTTTGTACATTGTGTTGTGACACTTGTCCCCATACACCACAGCATGTTCAAACCATATGCTACAGCATGTGACATAGAGTAATTTTTTTTATTTTCTCACTTTTTCATGCTTGGGTGACCCAACCTCGCTTCGAACTCAATCCTAGGGCTGAAATGACAACCAAAAACACCCATTAGCTCTCTGTAACTGCACACTACATTAATTTACATACTTAACCTCATTTATCTAGCTAATTAGAGGTCAAATTTTGTCAGAGGTTATAATAAATTGGCCATTTTCTGTGAAACTAGGCTTAAGGACCTTAACCCTTAAGGGTCGAGCCTATAAGGATTAAGGCTCACTCGTTTCCCATCTCTATAAGTAGTCATCATTTTCTTTTCTTACCTTTCATTCTTCATCTGTTGCCTTCCTTTTTACTTCTTTATGTTTGTTTCTTTACCTTTTTTGAAGTTGCCATTTTTGCCTTAGTTAATATATTTCTAAAACTAGAAAAGAGTATGTAGAACTAAAAATGAATCGGTTCAAGTATTATGCTATCAAAATAATTGATATCAGTTGTTTTGTCATTTATTTCAACATGACGTTGACAGATTTTTTTTCCCTAATTTCTTAAACATAATTAATGATGTACTTTGTGATATATAAATTTTTGTATTTATCAAATTTGATAAGGTTGATATAGATCAAAGATTTTTATTTTCATTCTAAACTTAATTAAGATTCTATATTTATATTTGTATTCATTTATTTTATTGAATTTTTATTTTTAATTTTTTTAAAAAATAAAGGCCAAGTTTCATAAATTAACCATTTTTTTGAGAAACTGAGCTTAAAAGCCTGAACCTTTAATAGTCGGGCTCATTAAGATTGAACCCATATGAGTTAGGCCTGCACTGTTTCTCATCTATAATAGGGAGTGTTCACTTGCTGGTTGCTCCATACCTTTATTTTATGGTAAAGGTTTTTACATGTTAGATGGTGATTCTATAAATTAAATTGTTGTATTCTGCCAAAAAAAAAAAAGTTTAAACGGCTGTACAAGAAAACTTTTACATGAATGAGATAGATTTTTAAGACACTGTTGAGGTCTAAGAAAGAACCGTATGTAAACTTTGTTAAAAAAATATATCATTTTAAAGATAAAAAAAAATGTAATGAGTGAGTAATCTATGAGAGTGATATTTATTTTCTAAAAATATTAGTGTTTATTTTTTTAATTTGACCTTGCATTTTCGCAATCATGTTCGAGGCTTCTTAAACACCAAGCTTGAACTCAAACCTTAGTTGGCACTGTAACATTTAATTATGCTGTAAGATCCCTGATTATTTTTATGCAAAAGTGAAATACATCATTAAAATTTGAAATTATAAAAACAAAAAAAAATAAAAAATAATAATTGAAAGGCTCTATTCGCTACAGCTCCAGGAAATGAATCTCCTCCATCCCACGCTGCTCTCGTCAAATCCTCTTTTTGATGGAGGAATAGCGAAAATCAGATACCTCGTCGCCGTCATCTTGCTTCACAAAAGCCCAACGCATGCACATTCTCATCCAAACGACTAAACCCCCTTTGGGTTTCGTCAACAACTATAAAAGCCCAAGCTTTTCATTCATTACTGGAATCTCACAAACCAAGGAATTTCCCATGTTCCCGTTTCCAGTAACTGTAATCGCTTTAAATTGGGTTTCTGGTTTTTTGTTGTAATTGATATTCAGTTTTGCTAGGTTATTGAATTCGTAATACGTTTTAGTCAAAATTCATGATACCTCATTCTCTTTCTTGCGTATCATCGTTCCTTAGGTTGTTCACGGCGACGTCATGATGATTCATAGTCCTCTGTGAACTCAATCCTCCATTGGCGTGCTGTCTACTCTTTTCACGAGTTTGATTATTCTGAATCTCATTGGAAAGAAAATCATTTGGGATTAGTTTGTAATTGGCTACTAACGAGTACGGATCACTGCGAGATTCTTTGTAGAACAGAATTTCCTTAATCCTGCGGCAAATTTTGATTTGTTCGCAATTGCTTGCTTGGTTTCGGAATTCAAAGAACCAAATCAAAGTGGTTTTGGTGATACTGTGTGGGGAGTTTCTTCTAGCTCCAATGTCAGGCGGATCACCAGTAGGGGGAGGTGGATTTATGAGACAGAGACACAGCCAAGGGTATTCAAGCAGTGGTGATGAGCTTGACGACGATGCATGCTCGAGGATGCGTCCTTCTTCACCTCCAAGTCCTAGAGCAAGGACGTGGATCGAAATTCTTGAAAATTTTCTTTGGCTAGCTTCGGCGGCTTTCATCATATATTTTGGTGATCGGCGTTCCAATTTGATATATCTCCTCTGCCACGACGACAGGATCAGAAGGTAATAACTCCTTATCACCTCATCCCATCTCCTCAAAAAACCCATTTTCCTTATTTTCATCTTTGCCAAAAGCATGTTCATTTGTTTTTAAAAAAAAAAAATGAGAATCTCAAGAGTGTACTCTCATATGGCTTTCTTTGGTGGTTGGTGCATTTTACCCAGCCAAAGTAAATGAATCAACACCTAAAAAGGAAAGTTAAAGTAGATGCATGTTCATTTAGCTTGCGTATGCTTCTTGTAAATCCCTATTTCATTGCAGTGGAATGGGAAAAATTCTTCTTCTTCTTCTTTTCAACTACTGTTTGGAAAGTCAATGGAAAACTGGACAACAGCCGGGGACACCACCTGTGTGATGGTTTCAACTTTCAATTCTAAACATGTCCAGCTCAATTAAGTTTTATTTGAGCTAAAAAATCATTATTTCTTTGTTTATATTTTACTCTGTTGCTAATATAAATATTTAGAGCATGCTACTTATGCGCACTATCATTGGTAAGAAATAGTTTCAAAGCCCGGGAACTATCTTTTCTCACTTTTGGTTGGAGGTAAATTTATTCAGGAACATGTTGAGTATTGCTACGTGTAAGGTCCAAACCTTGCGAGTTGCTTCAAACATGATTGAAGACTTTTAACTACTTAAGTTATGCCATGCCGCTCATTACTTGAAGATGTTCATGTCTATTAAATTCACCATATTATGAAATGTGAAAATTGGGTTGGGGACATTGGTCACTAGTGTTGAATTGTGCTTTTGCACTCAACTTCTGGAACTGCACATAAGGTGTAGAAATGATAAAGAAGTCATTGTTTATATGAAAAGCATACTAAATCCTGTTTCAGTGAAGAGGATTTAGGTTTTAGATTTTTTTGCCCTCCTGTTGATGGAAAGTCTATTTGATTGTTGTCCACTTATCTTTTTGATCACCTTTTGATGTATTGGTCTTGTTTGCAACATTGGTTTCTTCATTTTGAAATTATCTGTTTCACTTACAGTATAATATTTATTTTTAACTTGTATGAGGCGTTAAAAAGTGGACAATTTGGAGATGGTAAGATCTAGCGTAGAATGCTGCTGTCACAGTCACAGGATTACGTTAACGGTTATAGTCTACTTTTCTATTCATATGTTGGTAATTTAAATCTTCCACATAAACCCTTGTGCTCTTATCTCTAGCTGGGGCATAAATTAGTAGTTTTAAAGGCAAATTTCATGTTGAAAACTAAGCCGTTCTATTATAAAGAAAACAACAGTTTTAATTATGTATATGATTATGATTTTACCTGTTTGAAGATCTCCGAATTTGAAATAATGAGGATATCCGCAAATTCCTTGTTGCTAGGGACTCTGAGTGATTACAATTCTTTGCTTAAGTCAGTTTGCGAGATTCATGGTTCTCTCCCTAATTTTCTTGCAGACTGCCTCTATATGTTGGGATGATAGGTGTTGGTCTGAATGCTCTGATTTTCATTTATACAAGCATCTTGGCGTGGAGTGTCCGAAGACTTGATGAAAAATGGGGACTGAAAAAGTGGGAAGTAACGAGTGTCACCTTTTTGCCATTTGTAACCGTATTTGGACTCTTCTCTTTTTGCTTGTAAGCAATGGTGATTTCTTATTTCCATTGCATGGTATGTATAAACATTCGAGTATGCCCCATTTTGCTGATTCCTATCCCTTTCCAGGTTCTCCTTTGCCCTGTGGCCAATTTGGAGTTTCTTGACACTTCCTCTCCTGGTATATTGACAATTTTGCTTTACTTAATACCAACCTACTTGTTTTGTTTGCTGCCAAAGGGTAAACTTGTAACTGATAACTACTCTTGTTGCTCTTGGATTGCAGTTTACCCTTTTCATGGCTTCCATGGTAATAATCCCATATCTCGTATTTGGGTTGTTTCGGCCGCAGTATGACGAGCAGCTGCGTACAGATTAACCTCGTATGATTCAAGCGAGGAATATTACTGACTTATGTGAAGAGTTTCTAACCCAAAAGTCGATGATCTGTAGCCACGCCTTTGTAGATTGAAGTTCGTGTGAGAAATGTGCGGTGTAGATGCCATGTTTTTGAAGCCGGTGTCAACTGCTATCAGTGAGAGTTCAAAATCTTTTTATCCTGCAAGCACATTGCTTAAGAATTATAGCATGCCAGTTGATCGTAGTTGCTGGACTTCTTGACACACAGGATTTAGGTGCATCAGTAGGTGACAAGATGGTATAACGTGGCAGTTTTGCAAGATTAATTTGCGTAATGCTAATGGCAGTTTTGCTCATTGATGCATCTCTTCAAGTTCTTTTCTTTTTCTTCATCTTTTTTTGGCCAACGAATATCTTCAAGTCTTTAATAGTATTCTGTTATATGCTAACTAGATAATATTTGGGGAAGCTGAGACAAAAATGGTTATCTGTTCTCTTTATATATCACAGTTTGCATCATTTATTGTAATTACAACGATGGATGGCAGCGCAAATTTTGATCCCAAATTATGAAGCAAAAAGATCTGTTCCCAACTCCTCAATTGCTCGCCAATCCATATTGCGTGCGCCTTCTGCAAAAAAAAAAAAAAAAAAAAAACTGTAACTTGCTCGATGGCAAATGTTTTAATTTCTTTTGGGCAAGCAGCTACAAGTCAACAACTCATAAATCACCACCTACCCACAAAAGAAAGATTCGGGCCTACACTTGTTTGCCTCTGGAATAAGGTAAGTATCTTCATCACGTTTTATATAAAGCTGTTGGAGAAGTCGGTCAGCTGAACTGTTCTGTTATGAAGGATGTAAGAAAATTTTCATTTCCACGCCTAACAATTTGGCCACCTGCTTCCCACGTTTGTTTTGGACTAGGTTCATGTCTCTCAAATACTTGAGGTACATGTTCCTTTGCTTCTTTCCCAAACATAATATTGTGATTAACCAGCTCTTGTTGATATCCCACATGTATAATCAGTTTAGTGTAATGCAGCTGTACTTCTCATTCAAAAAAGGGGGGCGAAAAAAAGGGGGGGGGGGAGAGCAACTTGCTTGACTTCTCTTTTCTTGGTTGAAATAAGAAAAGGACAATGGTCCTTTGTCTCTTATTGAAGTCAAAAGGCTCGATTGCAACGTGTCGAGAGGGAGAAAAGTAATGACGGGTTGACGACGAGCATTTGAAGCTTTACACATTTGTCCCATTTATTGGATCTTTTATAGTTTTGTATTTATAAAAGAAAATTTGAAGGATTATTTGCTTTGAAGAAGATTAAAAAGTAGATAAATTTATAAGATGTAATTCCATAACCAACTAAATTTTCTTAATTGATTTTTATCTATTCAATCATTTTTTTACATTTTTTACTGTTTTGGTTGAACTTTGAGACCAGTTTGTCCATTGATGGTTGAAACCATGGGTATGCTATACAAAGCCATAATAAAATATAAAATATTTAATTTTTTTGGTTCACAAGATAAATATAATATTTATTATTATCAGTGCCGATATTAATTATACTAATGGGTAATGACGGTCCAATTTTTAATATTGCTTCACGGAATTTGGGTCCAATGTTTTATTTATTTATTTATTTTGAATGATAGATTGCTGTTGCTGTTTTGTTCTTGTTCATACCGTCATTAATTAGTTTTATTAAAATTAATATTTTTAGAATCACATCGGATATTGAATCAAAAAGGTCAGTGATTTACGGTTCACAGAATTCAACCGGGTTGGGTCAATGGTCAAACCGGTGACGTAATAAATAAATTTAAAAAATTATGTATGTACATAATAATCTAAATATAAGAAATAAATATGAAGTTTCTACTTAACTTAAAAAATTAAATATTTTAAATTTATCATGACTTAATAATTCATGTGATACAATATAATATCAAATGATTAAAAAAATTAGTCATTTTTTAAAAAAATTGATAAAAAACATAATTTTTTTTAAACAGTTTGGTTTTTGAAAATTGAATCCGGTTCTTGACTTGATTCTGATTACTGGTTTGACTGCCAATTCAAAATGACCCAATCCCTGAAATGATTTTCTCATATGAACCAAACCGAAATCTGGACCGATCGAAGGTGAATCCGGTCCAATTTTAAAAACACTGGTTAAAATTGAAATCCCACTGCAATAAATGGGCAATTAACTAATTATCCATAGTAGAATTGGCTGATTAGTGTTAAGCATAATCCAGCAAATGACTCCTCGTATGATACTTGAGGGCATATATCGTTCTATTTCTAAGCTTATTTGGGTATTGTCTATAGAATCTAGCATACAGCTTCAATGTTGTTTCATTAAGCCCATGTTAACGCGTTCTGGGATCTCCATTGATAACTGTTCAAATTTCAATTACTTTTTTCTGCAAACTCTTCAAGATTACACAGAAGCGAGGTTTTAAACCCACATTCCTAATAAGTGGAGGGAAGGGAAGAGAATTTCTTAAACTGTTTTAATTTATATACGTATAGCTTTTGAGGACATCCATGTATTTATTTATAACTTACAATGGTAACGCTGGGAGCGTTTAAGAGCAAAAAAAGGTTCTCACGTTCATCTACATTGTATTGTAGTATCTTAATGTGAGTGTACATAGATAATCATGACTCAAGAATTTGTATACCTAATCTTTTGATGTTATCGCCAGCAACCCCAACGCCCCGATTAGCATGTACTGCAGCAATCAAGAGAAGACAAGTCAGACTCAAGACTTGATGGAAAAGTAAGCGAGATAACAAAATTGTCGGTGACACTTAAAAGCATCAATAACTCGAATTTTGGACAACGTGAAGAGATTGTCAATTACTTTATGGCCTTCAGAGTTTTCAGATTTTTCAATCATAACAGATTTCCTTCCAGAACTGCTATGTTGACAAGATGTTTCGAATACTGATTCAATGATAAACATAACTTTTAATTTTTTTTACTTTAATTGTATTTTACTTTTAATTTTTTTTATATTTTAAATTCTATATTTTTTTTATTATTTTCGATCACTTTATGAATAAACTATAAAAATTTTAAAAAGACCCAAAATAATAAAAAATAATAAAAAATAAAAGTGTAAGTATTTAAAATATTGAAAAAATATAGATAACAAAAACAAAACATGAGTGAAGTATAAGAATAAAAAATTACGTCTACCTTTAATTTAAAAGATGATTTTAAACTGCTTTTTTTTTCTTTGCTTTTCTTTTTTAAAACAACTAGAATTCTCCCCTTCAAAAGCAGGCAAATTAATTATTTATACGCATCCTTCGCATATAAAATAATAACAGGCTCGAAAATTAACAGTAAGTTTTGAGTCAGTCAGCGATGATTAATTAAATAAAATCATAAAACAAACCTTGAATACAGGCTTTTCAGTCATCATTATTGTCACCCAACCAACAAATGGTAAGAACCTGCAGAAAAATGATTAAAAAAATGTTAATAGCAGTTTCAAATGATAATGCCAACAATTAATTTTTAGTTATTCTCAGGCACATCAATCTCTTCACTTCAGAGGCAAGGGGATATGGAACTAGCCTGTAATTCAGGAATAATTTATTCAAATGATCTATTGTATGAGGATCGAGACAACAATGCTAAACACTGAAGCCCTCCAAAGACCACGCTGTAATCCATGTCATATCATACGTGTGTGTGGAAACTGTGATATCATCTGCTTTATAGTTATAGGCCTTATTGAGAGAGAAGGTCAAGCTCATTCTCGATACTTCTGAAGGAAAACCGGTCAACATTAGTATTTATTTCAAAGATATTTGAATTACCCAACAGCTCTGCCCATTATATGATGTTTCTGCAGCCACTGCTGACCATTGTAAAAAACCCTGTCATCCATAGGGTTATTGTCTCCTGGTAGAGTTAAAAAAATGAATCAAGAAAAGAGGATATATACACGTAACACACCAAAGATCAAGAATACGACTTAGAAACCAGAAACTAATTAATTATCACCCAAAGCTCATTGATGTGCGTCTCTGTGGTGCCATGCAAGATAACAATTGAAACTGAATTTATATAGCATGTCACCTTTAGTGAGGATATAAGCTTCTCCAGTATCTTGACGTTCATGAACCTAAAATAAAATAATAGAATAATTAGAGTTTACATTTGCTATTTTGTTGTAGGCATAAAGCTATATTCAAAATTTATTGCCAGATATAAGCAACATCAACTATCGATGTCAAAACCAAAATGGGAATTTGCAAGTTTGACAAGGCTTTGGTTCCGTTCTCCAAAATAGTGGGAAAGATAAATAAAACTTCGGCTCCAGGAATATCAACCTCATCAAGTGAGAGCTATAGGCCTATAGTATGATGAGAGTACAACAACATTCTTTACTCTTTTCTGAGCAATAATATTAGTTCCATTTATCAGAGACTCAGGCTTCTTTTAACGATTTTATGAACTTAAGGGGAATAAATCATCTAGTCATCAAGACACGGCAGAAGTCCGCAGGTATTGGTGATTGAATAGACAGGTACCCCTGTTTCTTCATCTGTTTCTGATATACACCTACATGTACCAGATACTACATGGTGCAATATGAGAATTAAAAAATGTTGTTTATTATTTAATGATGAAAAATGAAATTCAGGAATAAGGATTCGTAGATGACTAGATGGAAAAATGGGGTCATCTACAATTTATTTATCAGTAATCAGGAGTAATAAACCTGTTTGGGTCTAGGGATGTGTAACCCTGAAGTAGTTATTAGGATTCTTTCTTATGGCATTGATATTAAATTATAGTTGTTGTTTAAGTTCTAGTCATTTCCCTGGGATTTTGTTATTGCACCACATAACCAAGTTTACATAAATAGACTGTCCCAACCATGGTGACTCTAGTTCGCATCAGTGGCTCTGGGCAGGTCATTAGCATCTATAACCTGCTATATTTGGAAGAGATTCTTAACATAGGATTTATTGTACAAATCAAATGGAAGTGGCATAGAAAAGGAATTAGAGAGATGTCTTCCAAAGTTTGTTACCTCTATTACTCGGTGAACAATTGGAATATCATGTTCCTGTGCAATGTACATTTATTAGCAAAAACAGATGATAAAGACACATGCATAGACACACTAATTGACAGATGTTATTACTTTTCATAGGATAAAAATAAGATGAAATCAGTCCACAGGCATCAAAATTGAAGTCCAGTTAGATTATGTTGATGAGTATTTTGTTCTTCAACATCCTTGACAAGTACATGAAGTCTTGAGGAGAAAAAATTCAAAGAAATGGAAGATCTCGATGCCATAAGGCAATTGCATTAATGTGCTTTATTTATGATCTCAGAATCTGGAAAAATTACACAGTCCATATTATGTGCTCTACAAAACTTCACAGTATGTGGGATCTACCTGTTGTTTTAACATGTAATTTCTGTAGCCAGTAATAACCATTGGATCTAGGACTTCTTCCTTTCCTTCTATAAACAAGGAAGAAATAAAATTTCATAGTACAATGCATGATTGCATTTGTGACACTCAAAACAAATGAAGAAAAGCATATCATATATATCTGATTATCACTCAAAGGAGGGGATAAATGATATCTTCACAAGAATGTGTGCTACCCACAAACAATGAAAATGTCTCCAAGTCTCATGCTAAGTAATTGTTACGCAAGAACCATCTTTGAAAGGTATGTTAGAGTCTCATCTGTTATTGGCACTAACAAAGGCACCACAAAACTAAATACTGCAATGTCACAGCAGACATGCCCAGAAAAATTGGCAAAGATAGGATTATGGACTTGGCAGATGTGTTGCCAAGAAGTGGCAGTGTTAAAGATAAGTCTACACCTACAGAATCAGAAAACTTAAAGCTTTACAAGAACAAATTCATAGAATAAATAGATCTAAGCACCAAACTTGAAGAAAAGGGGGGAAAATCATACGTCTTTATTGAAAACGACTATCTCTCCTGCGCGAATGGGATACTTGCTCATTGGCAAAAACAAAATGTCAGCCTGGAAGAGAATCAAAGGTTTCTGTCAGATAAAGAATTTGAAGAAAGGCTTATAATTTCCATATGTTTAAATAGATTAAGCAGCGTGACTAAGTTATGGAAATAAAGAGAAACACAGAGAAAGGAGATAACCTTATTTGAGATCCAAAAATCAATAGCCGATATGACAATTTCAGGTAATAGGAACAGTGAGAAGTTGACTTACTTTGTGCAAGTAGGAAATGGAGGGTGAAAGTTATGGAAAACAGTTGAAAAATTCATATATAACGTTTCAAATTTGGAGGATGATCCTTCAAGTATGAACTGGCCTATTTCAAACCTGAAGTATATCGACTTGGTCATTGTGGGTGGGTATGCTAATAACTTACAAGTGCCACATGCAATGTATATTAAATAACAGAATAAATTCTGTTCTTTTCACCTGAACTTCATAAATATTTCCTCGATACTCCTCTTGGGATATAACTACAGGCTAGCTTTTCCAAAATAAAGGATAACTCATCATGGTGGTTATATTGAATTCGACTTTGAAACAATTTGCCACTAAAAATATAAGGAAAAGATAAAGTAATTATTAAATATTAGCTAACTCCTCAATGATTATAGTAACTACCTAAACCTGCATTTTTTATTCATGATCTGTTTGATGGCTCTCGGAACAACTTCAACAAGCTACTGAGAAAAATATACTGATATTTACTCACTCTCTTGAAACCAGGTTCCATGCTTCCAGTAAGTACAACAACTACTGGTGATTCACTGCCAGTTATACACATTAATCCTTTCCATATCATTAGCGCCGATGGCACAATCAAACCTGAATAGATAAGAGTAAAAGAAAGCTAAATGCAAATTGTAGGCTTGAAAACAATTTTAATAAACAGAGTTAATTGCACTCCTCTTATGTTAGTAACTTGTTATTAAAGAGCAACAAACAGCATAGACGGTTGATGAAATATTGTCATACACCGTTCCATCACTTTCTAGAGTCTTAACTACAATTGAAGACATCAGCATGAAGATCTCCAGTAGAAAATGTAAAGGAAAGATAAACTGATCAACCAATATCTCACTTGATCATCCGGGTAATCGCAAATTTTTCGTATTAAACGACTCCAATAGCATAAAACAGATGAAATATTAAATTACGTACGGTACGGGCCAATGGGTAATTAAACGAAGACTCCGTTAACTAAACAATGTGTGTGTGGCAGTCGCAGCCGTCGAGGAAGAAAATGATGAAGAAGCATAAAGTTGAGGATGAGAGGGATGGTAGTGCATACCAAGATTGACCACCTGGATTAGAGCTTGTCTGAGTTGAAAGGACTTGAAGGAATTGGCAACGTCTCCGATCCACCCCATTGGCTTTCTCCCGAATCACAACGAAACGGAGAGCGTTACGACTCGAATAAGCAGTGGAATGGGTTATGCGCTAATGCCTCTCTGGTCTCTACCTTGCAGAATTGCATAGAGCCATCATGCAGCTTGAGCTTCTGACAATCACTAGACGAATTTTGCATCCAAAAACCTGCAGCTTCAGAGTTCTGTTTTTTTGACCTTAACCTTCAGACACGCATATACGTGGCTTTATGAATGTGCATATGACACGTGTATTTCTATGGGCTGATGCGGACAGATGACAAAATAGGAATTCTCGTAGATAAATGCCCCCCGGGCTAAAAAAAAAGTATTAAATATTTTTAATTAAATTTTACTTCTATCATTTATTAATAAGAATATTTTTTAAAAAAATATAATAATTTTAAAAAATTAAAAATACTTTATATTTTTTAATATTTAATTTTTAAAAAATATTTTATATTTTTAAACGAAGAGAATATAATTTATTTGTCAAATTTTATATAATAAATGAATATTTTAAAAATATTTTAAGTATTCTTTTTGTAATAGTTGAAGAACACATTTCTTAAAAGGTTATATATTAAAAAATATAAAATATTTTTAGTATTTGAATATATAATTATTATTATTTTTTTAAAAGTATCTATAATGAATAAATTATTTTATATTTATTTTAGAGTAAAATACCTAATTAAATAGTAAATATGAAAATACAGTGTTATTTTAAAAATAAGTAACTACTTTATTGAAGATGATTAAAAATATCTTATATTTTTTAAAAGATAGAGCATGCATTTAATTTTTGAAAAAATAGTAAATAAATTAGTTTGTATGATAAATAAATTTAAAATATAAATAGAAATTTAAAAGAATATATGAAGAATGATATTTTAGTCTAACATATATGATTTAACTGTCAACTAATGATTAGATGAGTGAAAATAAAAATTTAAAAATAGAAAGTATATTTGTATTTTGTAACTTTTAATTATTAATTTTAAGAGGAATTTGTATATATTTTAAAAATAAAAAATAATTATGATTAAGATAAAATAGAGGGAAAAGTAACATATTTTACTTTAAAGATATTAGAATAACTTTTTAATAGTTATATTTGTGTTTATTCTCAAGAACTAAAACATGTATAAATCTAGTTCTTTTTGTATTTTTCCTAGACATTAAGACACTGTGAAGAAAAAAATCATATAATTATATAATACATAATATAATATCAATGTCATATTTAAATTATTACAGAGCTTGCTTGAATACTACTATAAAAATGCCTTCACATCTATGCAGCAAAATCATATAATTATATAATACGTAATATAATATCAATGTCATATTTAAGTTATTACGGAGCTTACTTAAAAACTATTATAAAAATGCCTTGACATCTATACAGCATCAATATTTCAAATGATCTCATATGTTCGTATCAGTATTATACTTGTCAATACTTATTCAATACGTATTCATAAAATATTAAAATATTATTTTTTTTAATTTAAAAATTTTTAACCTTCAATTCGTGTCTGATGCTTCTCAGTTGTGTGTTAATACTTCAAGACCAGTTTTAAGAAATTTAAATTTGCTAAATATTGTGATATTAATCTTTTTATTCCTAATACGTCTAGAAAATAAGCTTTAGACGTAAAAAAATAAAGATTATATTTTCTTAATTATGAGACATAGGAATGAAAACTTTTGGTTTGTAAATCCTACGCAGGGACTTATTAGTATAGATGTCAAGCAGGAAAAAATTAGGCATAGATAAAGTAATTATAATCGACGATCAAGATTATGTTTTATTTGGTGTTACTATATGGTGTTATTTAAACATACTAGTTTGGATATTTTTAAAATTAAAATTTTAATATTTTTAATACTTGCGAATATATATAAATATACATAACAATAACATTTATTCCACTAAGTGAGGTCCATTATATGAAAATTACTGTGTCATTATACTCTATTATTTATAAAGTTTTTAGAAAATGTTGCTAACTATAAAGTTTTGATCAACAACTTCTATAAATATTTTTTTTGACCTTCATATACTTATTCTCACAGGATTTAAAATTATATATTTCACTCTTTTATTGATACTTCCCATTGTCTTCTCCATGTATATTCAAACCATCTCAAACAATTTTCTACTATTTTTTCTTGCTACACCCACTTTTTCTCATTTATGTTCATTTCATATTTTATCTTTATATGTATGCCTATATATTTATATCAACATTTTCATATATGTTACTTAAGCTTTATGCTTCTACTATCCCTTTAAATCCTAACATTCATTACTATATAATATAACCAATTTTATAGCAGTTCAATATAATCTCTTTTTAAATTTATTGGATAGCTTGTGATTACAAACAACTTCTTTAACATTTCTCCAATTAAACCACTCAACTTATTCCAATGTGCAAAATTTTCATCAATTTTTTCATTATGTTGAATAATAGCTCCCAAATATATAAACTTTTTCATTTAAAGTATGATCTAATTTCTCAATTTTATTTTCAAATCACCACCTGCTGACTTCTTATCAAAACTACAGTGCCAATACTCCGTCTTACTTTTACTTGGATGGAAATATTTTGACTGTAATATTATTTTTCACAACTTAAGTTTGTAATTAATTTTTTTCTCAGTAAAAATTATATCGTCCACAAAAAAGCATGCATTTGAAAATTCATCATTGAATATGCTTGTTGAAACATCTAAAATTATGATTTAATGATGATTCTTGATGTAGTTCAATCTTTATAAAAAAATTATTTGTTTTACCGTCAAATGCTCTTACACTAATTGTTATCATTTTATACACGTATTGTATAGCTCTAATATAAATAGCTCAGAACCCTTTACACGTACAGCATAAAAATCACATTTGGTACAAATTAGATCCTGTACTTTTTAAAAATAAAAATCGAATATCCGATTCGCGTATCATATCCATGTAACATAACTTCACATCAATATAAATTAGAGGCTCTTGAAAACGTTCCTTCAATTAAGAATAACAACAAAGATGGACAATCCTCCGAAAAAATTGCATTTTGTCATCAATATATAATATAAAATTTATTTATAACCAATAATATTATTTTTCCAGCCATTGCTAACCATTGTAAAAAACCCTGTAAAAAACTCTGCCCATTATATGGTGTTTCTGCAGCCATTGCTGACCATTGAAAAAAACCCTGTCATGTAAATCACGCCATTCATTTACCATATTTTAACCAAATGTTACATTGAAAATGAAAAAAAAATCAATAATATGAGCTAAATATCCATATGATTGATAATCTTTAATTTTTTCTGGTATAATTTTTGTTCTGTTTTGCTTTTGTTACGTAACAATAAATCGACGACGACGAAACAGAATTTGCGTTAGAAAAGGGAACTTACTAGTGAGCCCAAACCAACGTAAATTTGGGCCTTCAATAATAGAGATCCATCTTCACTCCACAAAGCCCAGACCAATACAGAAGAATTAAAAAAGACTATATATGACGATGTTTCCGCTGACAAGCAGCTTCTGTTACTTAAACCTCAAGCTCGGGTGCGCTTCCCCTCGTCATCGCAAGGAAAAACCCTAGCCTCTTTTTCGTCTCTCGACGCAACCAATAATGGTAACCTTCCCTCTCTTCGTCGTTGCCTGATTGGTTTTCTTTAGTTCAGAATCATTTTCCTTATTTCTTTCAATCTTCCGTGGTTCATTCTTTGCTTGCCGCTGCAGACCGGAGAGGCTGTGAATCCTAAAGCTTACCCTTTGGCGGATGCCCAACTCACAATAACAATACTGGATCTTGTCCAGCAAGCTGCCAATTATAAGCAGCTCAAGAAGGGTGCTAATGAAGGTCTGGGTCTTATATTGCCGCGTCTAATTTGCTTCCACATGTGTTATTATTATTATTTGCCGTATTTGCTCGTTTTCTGTTGTTATTTTAACAAGTTATTATCCTGGTCCATTCACAAAAAGCAATGTATTAATATTGATACTCTTTATCTTGTTTCAGCAACCAAGACGCTGAACAGGGGTATTTCTGAGTTCATAGTTATGGCAGCAGACACTGAGCCACTTGAGATTCTTCTCCATCTTCCTCTACTTGCTGAGGATAAGGTGACTTTGGATGTTTCTCCTCTTCTCTGCGAACTCTGTTTTCTTACTCTGCAATGAATGAATTAGCAGTGTTATCTCACGCATTCTTGGCCTAATTGCTATTCTTTGCTGCATCGATGTTTAGCCAAAATTTTTTGTTTGATTATTATGGAACTCGATATTACGATATAGATGTGTCTTTGTTACTTGTTAGCTGTGCCGCTCTTGTATAATGATCAGGAGATGACATTCGCGTATATCATCATCTTTTGTTTCTGAACTTAATGCGGACTAAATTGTTAATATAGAACTATTTCGATTTGACAGGAATTTAACACTGTTAATCCTATGTGAAAGTGGCTTTCCTTTGTATTTAGAGAACTCAATACAATTCCAACTCTTGTTTAGGGACATGGAGCCTGAAACTACTGAATTTGCTATTTCAGTATTGGCTAGCGGGTCCGTGTGTTTTTGGCGATAAACTGTATTTTTTTTCCTTTTGCTCAATGAGGCTAGCATTTAACTGCAATAATTTTCTGATGGAACAAGAGACTTGTGATGGTCATTTCATTTCTTTTTTTTTTGTAGCATTACTATCCATTGTTCAGTAATATGCTATATGTTTGTAAATCTGCCGTTATTGTTGCTTGGGACAGGTGTTGTTTATATAAGATTTTTTAATTTGTATATGACTGGCGATATATGTCCATATAGACTGTGATATATGTGTTATGCTTAACCTTATTGATCTAGGAAGAGGTCCATTGATGCAGATTGGCTTATTATTTTTTCCGTATCCATAAAGTACTGTGTTATGTCTTTGTCAAGCTTTTATCATTATAGAAATTAAACCCCTAGATTCACAGCAAGTGTGATTAATCAACGACATCTTGTGGTTGGACTGGACGATTGAAAAAATTATCTGACGTAATTTTGTTAAACTTAAGGTAGCTTAAGATGTTCACTTCAGAGTGGAGTCTTGCGCATGTCTCAGCATTCCAGCTGCTTTCATTTGAATTTAATATCTTTGATTTTACATCTATGTTACTGTTCGACGACTTGTAATGCTATGATATGAAATTATGCCCTTAAATTTTGTAGAATGTTCCCTATGTATTCGTTCCATCAAAACAAGCACTTGGACGAGCATGTGGAGTCACACGGCCAGTGATAGCGTGTTCTGTGACAAGTAACGAGGGAAGTCAATTGAAATCCCAGATACAACAACTAAAGGTAACCCTTACTGTTAGTTGCAAATTACATCAAGTGTTACCATATATATTGAATGAATATGCATTCTGATGATTTTTGTGTGGAATGCAGGATGCTATTGAGAAGCTTTTAATCTGAGAAATGCTATTCGGTATGATGGGCTTCTTGGGTTGTGGCGATGCTCCTCCAGAGGCTTTGACTGGACGAGATGTTGTGTTATCTAGGGGAATATAGATGTGTGTTGACCTACATTGTCGTTGATTATAAAAGATTATCTGAGTGGTATTTTTTGCTTTAGTATGAGTGATGCTTTGAACTGGGATTTTAAGTTTTCTATGTGACTTCAGATATCTCGAGAAATTACGCACCTCTCTCTTCTACTTCGAATCTAACGAAGTCTCTTTAAAGCAATAATTAATTTTTTAAAACTTAAGGTCCAGGTGTATCTAAGCTAGGCTAGTGTTAGCTGGATCACTTACCACGATCGGCATGCTAGGCTGTTTTTTTTTTCCCCCCGGAACTAGTCACTTGTTGCACTTGCCTACAAATTTAAGTCGTTCAATTGTGCACCGCGTAAAATATTTAGATTGCGAGTTGCGACAGTTTGAGATTGTATAAAATTTCAACCGTTTAGCTTTAGATTTATTTCACTAAGCTTTAAATTGTTAAAAATATTTAATAATCTTCAATCTTTATTTTGCGGAAGGGAACAGTTGGAAAATACACGATTAAAAAAGTACCAACGGGTTGATTAGGCATCGTCGTTGTTGTTTAAAGATTCCGTAGTTCGTATATTGTTTTTCAATAAGTGTTGATGTCAATCGAATTAAAAGAAAACGGTAAAACCTAGTTGTAAAAACGTGATTACTGGTTTTGAAGTCATTGATAATACTTCATGTTTTAGTGGTGCATGATATTTTCAAGTTTTAAAATTTCATGCTTTGATTACTTCTGATAATATTCAATAAATATTAGTAATTCATTTGAAAAGTGATTGAAAAAGTCAACCAATTAACTCAATAGATAAGTGGTTAATGAAATGTGTTATACACATGCATCTTTAGAAAAAAGTTAAAACCAATTAACTCAATAAGTAAGTGGTTATATATTCAATAGAACTCTAGGAAATATAGCTTATGAGTAGTATATTGTTTAGCTTATCTCAATTTCATTAATTTTAACCATTGACTCAAACTCTTTTTTTTAATATTATTTTCCCTAAAACATTTATCAATAAGACCATGGGATAATTGTGTAAAGAAACTAAAGACTAGTCATGATATAGTCAGGGGCTAGTTGTCAAAGATAAGAATATTAAAATTTTTATAAAATATCTTATGGTCTAATGCATAAGTGCATTTGTTAGCTTTTTTGTAAATATAATAAAAAAAAATCATTCAATCTTTCATAATAAAATTTTTGATATTTTTAATGATTACGGAGAGGGGATAGATATTATAACAGTTGTTATCAATAAATACGTTAATTTTGAATAGTCTTTCATTTTAAAAAAGGTTGATACCTTTTAAAATTCTCAAGAAGTCAGCTGGGCCTGGGCATGAGTCTCGTTCTTTGAATTCACTATCTATCTTTTACGTCCTAAAGATAAGTATTAATTTCACTTTATTTAATAGTTCTAGTAGAGAGTGAAAAGATCAAGGTGGGCGTGCCGGAGTGGTTATCGGGCATGACTAGAAATCATGTGGGCTCTGCCCGCGCAGGTTCGAATCCTGCCGCTCACGTTTTGCAAAACATAGAGTGAGGGAGATTGAGTGTGAGCACAGCATTCTACCAATGCCAATCCTCACATTCAATGAATTCATACCTGGAAATGATAACGTTAGCTTTATGTCTGTACGATTCCTTAACTTCCACCATCCCAGGGCTTAGGATTGTGGCATCACCATTCTGGGCCACGTACGTCATTAGTGGTTCACACCCTCTCTCTCCCCATCCCCTTTTCCTGTTTCAAATCAATCAAATCCTTTACCCTTCATCTCATTGTCAACTCCATTAAACACTGTTCACCCAATATGGTGGGATCGATTTACCACTTGACTGTTTCTCACCGTCTGAGGTACCCAAAATCTGATTCTTTCCAGGTCAAATTCAACAGTCTGTATCACCACCACACACCATCCCACATTTGCTTATCCAAGATTCTGCACAATCCTCCTTACAGTGTTCCCACCACGTTCATCAGAATCAATTATTTGCATACTACTAAGGCCTCACAGAAACCTGTAATTCACAATAATTGGTGTTTCCACAAATCTTGAAAATCGAAACACAGGCAGCGTCAGAGATTTCTCCCCACCCCTTCATGTTTTGATTCTATGGTAATAAGCAATAAGAACACATGCCACTGCCATTTGAGTAAAATCACGTGCTTGCTCATGATTAAAACCATCATGGCATGATATTTTTACTGTGGATGAGCACACGTTTGTTGGAGAATAAAGTTCAGATTTAAATGTATAAGCTCGCGTGCTTTAGGATAGCACAGAGCTTCTCCATTTGGAGAATTAAAAGAAAATAGTAAGTTTTAAGAGTAAGGGAAAATCATAATCAAGGATTATGTAGATTACATGATTTTGATACTATTCTGCAAGATTGAAAGACCTAAATATAATTAAAATGAAGTAATTAATTGTTGTTAGAATGAAAATGAGACTTTTTTTAGAGTTGTTAATAAAAAAATTAATTGTTGTTAAAATAAAAATAAATTTTTTTTTCCTAAACGGGGACTTATTTTACTAAATCACAATACTTGTTCCTCTCTGATATAAAGTTAATTTTTTGAAGTTATTAATAAGGGAATTGATTGTTGGTAAAATGAAAATAAAATTTTTTTTCTCAATGGGAAGTTGTTAAAAGTGTGCGTGTATGGGGGTAGTTTTATCTTTTCAAAATAAATTTTAATTCAACTTAGATTCTTTATCTTGCAAAATAATTTCAGAATTATTTAGTCTTGTAATGCAATTAATTGTCTCCAATGATCCTTAATTGTGATTTTTCTTAAGAATAATCATAAGGATGCCCAACACTCCTCTTGTAACAAGAGGAAGTATGTCTGAGCCTAGAATGGGTGTGAGGGGTATGTGTGTTTCCTTCTTTAAGGAAGGATGTTAGTGTCGTACTAAAATAAAACTTTTGAATGTTTTCCCGTTGCGTCCAGTAACAAAAAAAAATAATAATAATAAACTTTTAAGATGAAATGCTTTTGCTCTAGCAAGACTTTTGTCCCTAATTGGAAATGAAAATTTTTGCTTTTGAATGAAGTTTTCATCTATTAAATAGAGATTAACAAGCCAGACGAAACAATGATTCTGCAAGATTGAATTTTTCTGTGAAGCAGAATTACAAACAGATTTTTTTAAAAAATATTTAAAAAAATAAAAAATTATATGGAAATGATTATTATTTAATTTTTTTTTTAAGATTGAATTTGATATCCACCTATCAATGTTAGTTCAAAGCATAACCAATTTTCTCACTCACGTAAGTTGCAAGTAAACTGCAGATTGTAAGCTGCGAGCATAAGAGTTATTAAATATTATAAATGGATATACATTTTCTAAGAAGTCATAGCAGGAACATTTAACACAACAAAGAAGGAGAACTACTAGAGCTGATATTAAAACAAATATACACCATGGATGGAGAAAATAAATGACTTATTCCAGTGATACAATGGATGCAGCATTTGATTGCATAAACATTAGAATCATGGTGAAATCGTCAATTTAAGCTCTTATGCTCTTATTCATATCAATTATTCAGAATTCACAAAATTCAAATCAGACTTCTAATGAAGGAGAATAAGAAATCTTCCGATACTAGACATGATAGAATCCTCGTTCACACAACAGAAACTCATATTTCTTCTGTTCAAGAAACTAGCACCACAGATACGACTATCATGGACCATACTGAAGGATTAGAGTCAAGAAACTAACATTCTTGTGGGATTCATGTTCCCGGTCCGCAATTCCTGGTGGATCATTTTCTTGATCACCATAATAAATTGGTGAGCTGTAGTAGCTGCTGGGCTCTACTGTACTCTCATTCTAATTGATAGGCATGGCTCCCACTGTTATTATATTTGTTGCCTGCTTTTCAAAATTAATCTCAATTCTCCATACTTTTCAAGAAAGAAATTATGTATTTTTTGATAGATCTGAAGTGGAATAGCTGTTATGGGTAGGTTCTCCTACCCAATAGGCTAGTATTTTGGAATAGGCTCTCCTTTTGCACCTTTGCTCATAACATTTGAGCATTTCATTGAGAAGCTAGTGTCATAAAGAGAGTTACTTATGGAGGGTTCTGCTGGATAGAAGGCTAAGCGAAATGTCATGGAGTAGTTTACCAAGGACTTTGGCTTTCAAAAGAGATGACATTGTTATAAGTCCTGCATTAAGAAGCCTAACAAGTGAAGCGGGGTTTATAAATGTGAGGGACTCTCTTTCCTAATAGGCTCTAGTCTTTTGGGATGAGCTCTTTGTTTAAACTAGTGCTCATAATAGTAGCCACGTATGTATCTAAACCATTACTCAAGATTTCTAATTTCCTGTAGTACTAATGAAAATGCCAACCAAAATTGAAATTTAGTAATTTACTTTACATACATATATATCAGATATAAAGTAAAGCATATACAGTGTCAAGAACTTGCTTGCAAGCAGTAGTCAATAGATAGATTTGTCAAGGTAAATTAAATTTCAAATCCCCACTAAGAGAGGTGCCCACATTTAGTATTTGATTGTGCATTAAACAAGATTGCCTCTAATAAAAGGACACTAGTGTATAATCAAAAAAAGAATAAACTAATTTTTTTAAGGTACTTCTATAATGCATAATTGCATACTAATGATTAGCAGAAAGAATTAGAAAGTAAACAGTAGATTCACCAAAAAGCTTTTCCATGCTGCTGCTTGCTCTAATGGCTGGTCACTGTACAATTGTCATGGTCTTGTCTGTTAGTATGTGTGGCCTAGCACAGAATGTACAGTCCAGATCACACGCATTAGGAATTATGAGATTATTAGAGCCACCAGTTTAAAGTCAAACCATTATGCTTTATTGAACGTTGAAACAGTATTTAATAGCAAAATCTCTCCAAAAAGGCGTGGCTGAAATGCTTTCATTGGATTTTCGTCCAATGGGTGTTCTACTGTATTTTCAAGTAATCAGAGACAAGAAAGTTCTATGAAAAGTGATTATTCAATTCGATATTGATCAATGGGAGTTAGAATACACTTCAGGGATAAGTAAATTAATGGATGGCTTTGATTCTATTTAAAACTAGACTATGAGCACTATGCTTAATTTACAAAAAATGAGGCAAGTTGCATAGTTCATAACTTATAAATAGTATGACTTTCTATAGATTTGTATCATATATTAATATATTAATATTGTACTAATTTAAATGGAGACCTGACTATAACTGATATGGATAAAAATCAGTCATACATGGAGGGATAGTGGCAATGGTAAATACAATAATGTTTTTTATTATTCTCCTCAATCAACATCATTTTTTGTTTCTTCAGCAATATTTTTAACACTAGCTGCGTATAAGACAAGAAGTTTGAAGCCATCCGAGAAATATCCACTTGCTATTGCCGCCACTAACATAAACGTTCTGAAGTGGGAATGATGTGATTTCCCTACTTGCCCATGTGATGTTCCCACTGAGTTCATGTTATATGATGAATGCTCTGCCTTTAAAAGGGGAAGCTCTGAGATCTCAAATCCAAGTTGCGAGTTGAAGCCAAGAATTATAAGTTTCTGTGCATTCTAATTTTAGCACCTCATTGAATGGTTAGTGCTTCCTTTTTAGTATTGACTTTTGATCACTGTCTGATATGTCACCTTAGTTTTGCAAATGCTTTCATTTCCTATGTTTCAGGAGAAGTTGAATTCGACAGTTGAAAATGCTGTGGACTACAAAGGTTCTCCTGCTGACAGATCTAAGACTGGTGGTTGGGTGCCTGCCTCTCTCATTCTAGGGTTGTCTTTCCACTTCGACTTGATACTATTGGCCTTGTGAATTCTGAAAATAGTTTTTCGATTAATTGTAATCTGTAATAAATCAGAACAAAGTATAGTTACAATGTAATATAAACCTGACTATAATTGACCCCTTGACATTGTAAGATTTGTTATTTGATTTCATGTTTGTTTTCTTAGCTACAAGATGGTGATTCATGCAGTACTTGCAGGCTTGAAAAAAAGTTGATGTTTCATAAAAAGGCAATATAGAAACAGATAGAGTGTACCTAGTACATTGCGAGTAGGACCCATGCTTGGAGTTCTGTCCCTTGTCATCAGGAGCTACTCATAATATTCCATTTGATTCAATCCAATTACTATTCAGGGAGATAATTTCATCACAGAGTGGAGAAAATTGTAGTGAGACATAACTAAAGCTGACACATTATACCATGCTACTAGAGTTGGAGAACATGCAAGTAGAATAGAATACATTTAGCTATCTAGCATTCCAATGTATTGTTTATTTGGAATGGAGTTGGAAATGGCATAATACCATACAAGGTCCGTCCAAGCAATTTTTTTTTTCTTTGGTCATTCGACTAGTAAATATAGATGACTTCAATACTATTAGCCAGAGTGCTAATGGCTTATTTTGGGTCTCCGAAGCAATACAAAGGTTCAACTTGAAGAATTTTCCCCAACCTTTTATTTTAAGAGACTACTTGAGTAGGTCGCTGACGCTAAAGTGATCTCTCTTGAGTGAGTTAAACATCAATTGAGAATACAAGTCGTACGGGGAGATTTGAAACCTTACTTGTGGAGATGCAAAGAATTTTATGTAGTTTATTTAATCTTATTTTATCCCACAACTGTTTCTAAAGATTGAACCTTATTTTCTGCAAGAATATTATGCTTTTTCTTAACTAAGAGCTTCATTAGTTTTCTTTTTGACACAACACATTGCTCAAGTTACATAATAACATCTGCCCAATGAACTGAAAATAGTAATACCAATCTTCACAATAGAAACCAAATTAAATAGAAATTAATTTTCAAAATTCTTGCAGGAATTGAAATTGTTGAGAGGCTATCCACCATGGGGATAGCAGTGAACCTGGTGACATACTTGATTGGAACCATGCATCTGCCAAGCTCAACTTCAGCCAATGTTGTCACTGATTTTATGGGCACGTCGTTTCTCCTGTTTTTGCTTGGAGGTTTTCTTGCTGATTCCTTTGTTGGAAGATACAGGACAATCGGAATCTCCGCTGCAATACAAACACTGGTTAGTTCATATTGCACCTAAAAGTTGCATTTATTTATGTTGAGCTATTAGTTAACTCATTCAACTTCCAACTGCCAAATTAACCAGTCAGCTTTGGCTTGGTTGGTGGATGCAATTGGGGTAAAAAGACACATTAAAAGCATTTGAAGGAATACAAGATTAAATTGAAAGAAAAAATTTGTAGAGGACTAAACTGCAAGTTCACCAAACAAAAATAGGATTCCAAAGATGAATTTTCATGTTATCATGTATTCTCATTGGTTTTGACTTTGAGGAGGATGGTGATTCCAGGGCACTGCAACATTAGCAATCTCAACAAAATTGCCACAACTACGTCCACCACCTTGCAATGCTACAACAGGCGGTGAGAATTGCAAGCAAGCTAATGGATTTCAAATGGGATTTTTTTACATGGCTCTGTACATTGTTGCTTTAGGGACTGGTGGCCTGAAGTCTTGTGTTTCTGGGTTTGGAACAGACCAGTTTGATGAGAAAGATGAGAAGGAGAAGTCTCAGATGGTCTATTTCTTCAATAGGTTCGTCTTCTTCATTAGTTTTGGAACTCTGATGGGTGTCACAGTGCTTGTGTATATAGAAGATGAAGTGGGTCGAAGCTTGGCATGCGGAATATGTTCTGCTTCTATGGTTATAGCCATTTTGGTATTCTTATCTGGAACTAAAAGATACAGATATAAGCAAGGCTTGGGAAGCCCCATTATCCCTATTTTCCAAGTCATTGTTGCTGCAATAAGGAAAAGGAAGGTCAATCTGCCATCCAATGTTGAATCTTTATTTGAGGACACCCCTGAGGCTTCAAGAATTAAGCATACAGATCAGTTCCGGTAAGGTGGACTTTTAAGTGTCACATCATTGTTTACATCATATTTGAATTATCTGCTTTTGGCTGTGGATATTAAAGAGACTGATCATGGCTATAATAATAATGCGGGCTACTATAGACGATTATTTTATGCTTATCCATTTCATAGTCTTGTATCTTTAACAAGGAAAAAATAATCCAAGACACATCATTTTAGCATTGTGTTCATAAAACAAAGAAAATCATTTTGCATACAAATCCATCCTCTAAGGATCTATGAGCATAGTTCTCACTCAACAAATTCATGTTACATCATTGTTCACTAGCATGCATAGCTCAAACCAAGAAAACATCATAGAAGGTTTTAGAGGTTTCTCTCTTCTTCCTCGCCTCACTCCACTGAATCTCCCCTTTTTTTCTCCTTCGAAGCACAAGATAACTCTTAAGAACCTTGATTACTGGAAACAGTTTCTCATCCCTTGGTTAAGAATTTTGCTGAGATTAGAGGGATCTGTCTTAATGATTTCTTTTTTTCCTCGTTTCATTTTCTGCTATAGTTTCTTGGAGAAAGCAGCAATTGTGGCAGAAGGTGATTTTGAGAAGACGGTATCTGCTTCTGCTCCGAACCCTTGGAAACTATGCTCATTGACAAGGATAGAGGAGGTTAAGATGATGGTGAGTCTGCTACCAGTGTGGGCCACAACCATCATGTATTGGACCACATACGCACAGCTGATCACCTTCTCAGTTGAGCAAGCCTCCACTATGGACAGATCCATTGGGAATGTCCAGATTCCTGCAGGCTCTCTCACTGTCTTCTTTGTGCTAGCCGTACTAATCACTATCGCTGTTTATGATCGTCTCATCATGCCCCTTTGGAAAATGTGGAAAGGCAAACCGGGTAAACTTCTGTGGAGAAAATATGAAATGATAAGATATTCCAATTTGTTTGGGTACAAAAGATAAGAGAAATGGAGAAAGAGAGTAAAGCAACTTGGTTTACTGGTTAAAGATTGATGCTAGTCAAAACAATATATACTTGCCATGTTTAAGTCATTCATTCATTCATTCACAGACATTACATGTCACAAAAGTACTTAGCTCAACCTGCATAAATTATTGGTATTTGTCACGTCCACGTCAATTTTTACTACATACCTTACATCAAAGGTAACTGTCAGAAACCCATAACAATTTATCACAATAAGTGCGTCTATACGTTTTATGAAAATTCCGTGCACACACCATATGTACATACAACAGTTTTAATTAGCATAAGTTGGCATGTGGATCTCACATGTTCAGACCAAATCTCAGCCATGTCATATTTATTCGTGTGGTGAACATAAGAATTTGTTACGAGTTATTGGTCTTTGGTGTTATTTTGAGTGCAGTTATCACATCTAAACAATTTTCAGTGTTCTCTACATAGCTGACAGCTATGACTAAAAAGTTGACATGAAAAATCCATTGCAGAAAATTTTGAATAACAAATCCACCCTTTAAAACAGTTATAGGTAACTATATTCCACGCAACGTTGGGATACATATGTAGATGCAGTTGCATATAAATATTTTTACCATATGTACACAAACAAATTTAGAAACCAAAGCTATCTTCAACGCCTAAATGTAACAACACTATTCACAAGAGAAGTTACCTCTTTCTGTGAAATAGGTTTTACCAACCTACAGAGAATTGCAATTGGGCTAGCACTTTCAACTTGTGGAATGGCAGTTGCTGCATTATGTGAGAGAGAAAGATTGAAGGTAGCAAAAGGAGCGAGTCCAACCTTAAGAAAGCTTCCTATAAGCGTTTTCCTGCTAATTCCACAGTTCTTGTTGGTTGGTTCTGGCGAAGCCTTCGTATATGTAGGCCAACTCGACTTCTTCTTAACGCAGTCCCCAAAAGGCATGAAATCCATGAGCACGGGTCTCTTCCTGACCACCTTATCTCTCGGTTTCTTTGTCAGTAGCTTCCTAGTCTCAGTTGTGAAGAAAGTGACTGGGACTAAAGGTGGAGAGGGATGGCTAGCTGATGATATAAACAATGGAAGGCTGGATTTGTTCTATGCACTGTTAACCATTCTATGCTCAATAAACTTTGCTGCATTTCTGGTGTCTACAATGTGGCACGGGCCTAAAAGATCTAAACCTGCTCCGCAAATGGCGGTAGTGGACAAGTCATTGGCAGATAGGTTATAAGGATTTTTTATGGTTAATTGTAGCCAGCCAGAAGGTTTTACAAAGTTTGGTTTGTTATTCCTAACAACGTCGAGGACTCAGCATAGATATTAGAAAATAAACCATGACTCCTCACCAAAAAGATTTTGGGTTGAGCCGCCAAAGCTGATCAAATAGAAGTACTTCCGATTCCACTGGTGAGCGAATTTCCCTATGCTCGGAGAATTCTGAATTTTGATGCAGCATGGCATGAAGAAACAAGAGATTTGATTTGCAGTTTGATATGTCATTTTGTTTGCAAACTGGGTGGGTGTTCAAGCTGGAGCTCGAATTCCTTGTCCGGTGAAATAGTAAAATAATTGTCTTACATATTTTTGTCTGTCGTGTTTGTCATTGTTTGGTTTGTTTATATAATCTGTTATTTGAGTCTCGTTCTGTAATGTTCTGGTTGAATGAATAAAGTATATTACCATCGTCCTGCTTGTTAAATCTCATGGGCACGCGCACGTGCACACATGCATGCATGTATGTTTTAGTTTGTAAGATGGTGCTAGAGCTATCGTCAAGTGTTCGAACGTTAACCCCATAGTTATACTTATTGCCAAGTGCACAAGTAGAAGAGAGGCAAAAAGGACTATATCTCTTTGTTAGTTTGACAAACTCTATCTATAATCACCATTTTTATTCTCAGAACATCGATATAAGCTTGTAATTATGCATGTCAAGTCGATCATGAGATGCTAAATATAAACAGTGATAAGAGTTTAAACCTTTCACTGGGCAACAACAAAGGCACCATATACCAAACATCAACAAGGGGCTAATAAGCAAACCTAAACGTTTGCAGACGGATGGGTGGCCAGTGATAGCTCCATTACTGTCGTTTCAAAGTTCCTCAATAGTTGCGAGGGGATAGAATTTCAAGTTCTGTTTTTGCCATGATAGTTGAAATTAGATCAAAGGGCTATTTCTGGCCTACATAACACCAAACTACTCAGATAGTACACAAAGTTCCAATGAGCCAAGCAAACCAGCAAGAAGTTGAACAAAAATAAGACTGTTAACCAACTGCAGGCTGTCCTGTTCTTTTTCGACGTTTTCTTCTCAAATTTCGTAATAATATAGATCCACGCTTGTAAAATGAATTCAACATGCAGCAATGTGAACAGCAGTTCTGAAAAGCTCAATTATATCAGACCAGAACCTAGAGAGTAGAGACTAAAGTTATATACATTGCTCTAAAATTCCACATATTGAAATTTCTTCGACATTGAAAATGCATTTTAGTCCAAGAAACGGAAACGGATTTCAGGTGACCAGGAGTTTAATAATATGACTTCTTCAACAATCATACATTAACATGTATGAATCAATCTTCCAGACTTCCACTTAAGGCAACAAATATATGCTACCTGGCTCTAGATAGCAGAGCCAATTCCATTGCCAAGGGGTGAAATTGTAGTGAAAGTGGGAGGCATAAACATAAACATAGAGAATTACATATCAATTATAATAGATTTTAGTAATCGTTCACAGGGTTTTCTCCAAAATAAGGTACATGGGTAATATTTAATTCATCCTCTAGTCATCTAGGTGAACTGGAAATACAAGGGGCAAATGCCGATCGTAACCCGTCGCGCATCATCTCAGCTAAGACCTACATACATCGAAAGAAATTATAAAGGGATAGTAACATAAAAACCACACCCGTATACCACAAACCCAAAAACGCAGCCAGCCTCTTCCAACTTCAATCAAGGAATCATAATTATAAATCTCTTAGAGAATCCAAAAAAAAAAAAATTAGATCCGCAGTTACTTCAATTCTGGTTCTCGTTCTTCTTTCCGGTGTTTCCTGCTTCTCTCTCTTCTAACAATCTTCCAGCCTCCTCATCAGCTTGCTGAGCCTTCTTCTGTGCCTCCGAGGCCTTGAGAGCCTGCAACTTGGAATGGTTATAGTATGCAACCCCCAAAAACGCCAGTCCATATCCAATTAAATTGACGGGTGTGACTGTGTCTTTTATCACAGACCAGGAGAATGCAATCAACAACCAATCCTTCACCACTCCAGCAACGTTCATGGTCAAAGCCGAAGTCTTCCCGACAAGTAAAAACACCGCAAGATTCAAAGCAAAAGCACAAAACGCATTTGTCCCGAAGATTTTGAAGTCCAGATGAAAACTTGAGTGATCCCTCAAAGACGGGTACTCCACGAGGAACCAAGGGATGGACAAGAACACCAAACAACACGGGGCGACATAGTAAAGTGAGGTGATGGGGTTTAGTGAAATACCCTTGGAATTCAGCAAAATCTGAATCAAAACCAGCCTGGTGGCTTCGAATGCAACCGCCAAAAGCTGCAGAGTAACACCCCACGCATCGAATTTAGCTTCACCGTACGCGGCAATCGCAACCCCAAGAGAAATCGAGATCATGTTAGCCATAGTTTCACTCTTGAAACCCTCCTTCTTAAACAAAACCCCAATTGAATAAACAGCGACGGGCATAAGAGCTTTAAGCATTTGAATAAAGGATACGGAAAGGTATATATATGCGGAATTGGAAAACCATAGGGAAAGGGAGTAGAGTGCACCGATGGGCACGACGGACTTGAGGTAGAGCTCGCGGGACATTGAGACGGGCTCAACGAGCTTCAAGACGCGAACGAGGAGATAAGCGATGGAGGAGCAGAAGGCCATGTGGATCATGGTGAGGGAGATCGGGAACGGCCAATTGTACATCTTGCGGTCGAGGATGTACTTGTTGTAGACGATGACGGTGAAGCTGAGGAAGATCCATATTGCAACATAGGTGTAGGAGAGGATGACTTTCTTAACAACCCCATCGGAGACGGCCATTTTTGTCGATGGAAGACCCAACCCGTACCTGAACCCTAACTCAGATGAGAAAGTAAGGGTTTTGGAGAGAGAGAGAGAAGGATGGGGCTCACCGTTCACATAGATCTCAGGAGTAGATCATTCAGTTTGAAATGGGGTGTTTTGAAAAGAAGACGAATACGACAAAGTGAGAGGTGGAGTCTATAGATGAATGTGGAACTGGGAGTTTCAGCTTCTTGAGTGGAAAGTCAACAACTCTGAGCAATTCAACTTTGGTCGACACTCGGTGCGTCCATGATCCAACAACCTAAGAGATAGGATGCAGCGACTTGGATCCCCGTGATTGGTTGCTGCATTCCGAACTTAATTACTAATAAAAACGGTTAAACTTAGCCAATGTCTAATCAGTAAATAAATGTATATTCGGTGTAAAAATAATTGTACACTATTTCTAAAGTCATAGAACTCCAACAAAAGATATCTTCCATTTGAATCAACCAATATCCCATGTTCAGCTGAATTTGACCACCAAGCACCGGAGATCTTCCATTTCTGTTTTCTTGACTTTAATGAATGGAATTACGGGTCTTATAAGTAACGTGTGCCATTATTAACGCCGAAATGGAAGGAGCCCCCAATCTTCTACATGTTCATGTACTTCAATAAATACAGGGCGAAGAACTCCACAACTATTAAAAAATAATACTCCCCTAAATTCAGATTAAAAAAATATTTTTAAATAAAATTTCACATATCAATAAACTTTAATAACTACACTTAATAATCTTACCTTTATACAATAAAAATATAATTTTTTAAAAATACTTCTTATTATATTGAAAAGGGATAATGATGAATATTAAATAAAAATAAAATACTATTATAATAAGTTTATTAATGAAATGTTAATATTATCAAAGTGTCTTGTATTTTATAATTTCGAATCTCTCTTAAAAGTATCTTATAATTTAAAATGAATGGAGTAACTAATATTCCTATAATTATAAAAATTGTTTATCTTTAAATTTTATCCTTCTTTAAAATCAATAACCATGATAAAATTTTTCTAAAAGTTACAACTTAGTGCAATTAAGGAGGGATAATTTTAAAAAAAATAATTATTATTCTTTTCATCTCAATTTATAAGGCACTTTTAAATAATATTATATATATTAACAAAATTTATTAAATGCACTTTATAATGTTTTGTTTAAGATAGAAATATAAATTTTTAAAAATATTTTAAATTTAATATTTCTTTTGTAAAAGAATATGATAGAAGGAGGGGGGGAGAGAATAATGAAAAAATATTATTAAAAAAAATTATTAATAAAATATTATTTTTATTATAGTATCTTGTATTTTAAAATATTAAATCTCTTCAAAAAAAAATTTAAATTAGGATGGGGTACTACATCTTTATTTTATATTTAGAAGCGAGTGAGGTTTTAAAATGTTGTCATGTAGTTAGCACCGAAATAAGTAATGTCACTGGCTTGAATTTTATGCACCGCTAGTTGCAACTTCTTTTGGACCTTTTCTACTTTTTTTTTTGTTTTAAATTTGGACGTTTACTTTAAAGTAAATTTTATTTTCCTAACATGTGAAATAATACTTACTCTGGAAAAAATACAATTAAAATGAAATTAAAAATAATAAAAAGCAAGGAAAGTCTCTTTTTCCATTGCATACAAGTATCATTCTATTCAAAAATATGGTTGGACATTAAGTTTATATTCAGTATATGAAAAAAAAATTTCTAAAAAAGAACTGAGAAATGTATCTAAAAAGAAAGCAAGATAGATACTCCATTCGATTAAAAATGTAAGGTATTTTTTTAAATAATTAGATATTTAAAAATGTAAAACATAATCTTTTAAGGTGTAATTATTACTTTTTTTTCAAAAGTGTTCATATTGATATTAATTTTATATTTATTGTAGCATGTTTAATAGAAATAAATATAAAAAGATAAAGTTAGTTTGAATGGAGGGAGTATATTTTTTCCCTAAAAAATAATTTTTTCACCTACTAAACATGAATTCATCACATTGTGAAGGATTAAAGCATCACTCAACTCAACCTCATTAATAACAAAGAAGGGTCTCATTGTTATAACTTAGGACACAACACTAGGGAATTTTTTATAGGAAGAATTCATACAAAAAAATTAATTACCATAATATTTATTAATTAATTTTTTTTGTGAGGGATCTATATGTAATTTTTTTTTATATTAAAGAAAAAGTATTGGAGACTATTGTCCATTGAGTAGAATGGGTTTAAATTGGCAATGGCATGATTGTTAGCCGTGGTGGGCATCCCGACTTGGGACCCAATACACACTTATTGTCCATTCATCAAAAGGCCTCTCATCATCCTATCATAGCCCAACACTAAAAGGCTAATCAATTTCTTGTTGTTTTTCGGCCAGGAAGGGGTAGTCAATTAAAAGTTAAAAACTTTCCACAATTTATTATCTTTTCTCTTTAGTGTGTGTGTAAGTAAGTATTATATTAAAAAAAATTACAAATCTTTCCTCGAGGTATAGCTTATACTTTACTTTTAATAATGAATATTATATTTTTTGTTGTCGTAGCTCAGTTCTGCGGTAGTGTCTTACCTCAACTACCTATCTATTATAAGAATATATAATATAAAAAATGTAAGAAGCCATCCCTTTTATTTTGATAAAAACAGATAAAAGTTATTCTAATTACAAATCATATTGCATCTCATTTTAGGTTTTATGCAAATGCAAATACAAGGTCTACTGGTGTATATTCTAATTGCATGTATGCTGTAAAATTTATTTTAAAAAATATCAGACTAGCGATGATCAAAGTCCAAGGAAGGCAAAGCACCTTGTGATGTTAAATATAACCAAAGAGGCTTCATATAAAATGCCAAATGCGCGCTAAAATTGATTGAACATGAATGTCTAGCTATGGTTTGGATCGCTTGTTAAGTGGTGTGAAGAAAATTGTAGCACGTACACTCACTCAAAAGGATCCATATTGTCTGGTTAGATGAAAAAAAAAAAAAAAAAGGATCAATGTTTGAGGACCTTTCGAGTATTTTGTTAGTGATTAGTTTATAAGTATTTTCATAAGTGCCTTTTAAATCTAGAGACATGTTTTGGCCCTGATATGTCCCGAAACTCAAGTCATATAAAGTTTTCTATATAAAAAAAACCCAATATTTATCTTATGGTACTTAATATAACTTATGAAAAATAAAAGGTTGGCTAAAATACATAAAACTTTTCTGGACTTTGAAGCAATTGTATATAATTCTCCTCACTTGCAACAATGTTATTCAACTTAAAAATTCTTCCTCCATACAACACAGCTATAAGCAAGATACTGCAGAAGATGTATTGAATAGCTAGACAACAACACCAGATGTAATACTATTAGTTCCCTATAACATGAATTTATTTTCCCCTTATTTTATTTCCAGTGAAACCACGCCATGTTGTTTCACTTATTTGAGATTGACAATGAATAGAATTTGGACATGCATAAGAAGAAGCCGAGATGCATTGCTTTTTCACTGGTTTTACAATTAAGAGAATTTGCAGCCCCAATACGTACCAAAAAACCAGATTGTGGAAAATATATGATAAATTATACTTGATAAAAATTATATGATAAATTATAATTTATGTACAAGTATAGTAAATTATACATAAAAATGATATCATAAATCATATGATTTATTATACTAGATAAATCATATGATAAGGGAGACCCGACTGTCGTCACTTTCATTACTGACCAACTCAATTTTTTATGTAAATTATATGTTTATTTAATAATTAATAAGTATTGTTGAAAAATTAACAAGTAATTTAGTTGCTTTTTTGGAACAACGGTTAAACAAGTCTTGTTATGGTATTAACAAGTCAAGTTATATAATTAACAAGTGTTGTTTCATAATTAACCAGTAAAATTACAAGATTAACAAGTATTACAATTTAGTTGAAGGAGTCATGGATTTAACAAGTAAATTTAAGTGATTAACAAGTCTTGTTAAGATATTAATAAGTATAATTATATTATTAATAAGTAATGTAGTTATGTTGTGGGAGTCGCGGACTTAATAAAAAAAGTTAAGTAATTGACAAGTCCTGTTAAGGTATTGACAAAGTATAGTTTCGTGATTAACAAGTAATGTAATTTTGCTACAGGAGTCATGAGATTAAAAAGGAAAGTTAACTATTTAACAAGTTCTGTTAAAGTATTAACAAATAAAGTTACGCGATTAACAAGTAATGTAATAATCAAGTGGTTTGAAAATAAAGTCTGTTATATATATATATATATATATATAATTTTATTCATTATATGATTGAATGAGTTCAATGGTTTAGTGGTCCATAACCTTTTGGTAAGCCAAGGGGTTATGGGTTTTACACCCACCTTAGCCTCCTTTAAAAAATTAATTCTCCATAATTTTCAACTACTGTTGGTGGTGGTCTAACTAGCGCTTGGAACTCCGGTGGAGCTTTGATCACTTGTGGTGGTGCTTTGACGATAGTGGTTGATAATGACTCTCATTTCTGTACTTGAGAAGCAACATTAATTGTGTACAAAACATTAACTCTCTATTTCAACATTCTGCTTCAAAATAATCTCTCTCTCTCTCTCTCTATATATATGGAAGAGCAGTGCTAATTACACTTGGACATCAAGTTTTTGCTAGACAACAACAAAAATTAAAGTTGCTCTCTTTGAAATCTCAGTCACCTCAGGCACACTTTTCCTTTTGTTTATAGTCGTCAATTAAGGTAGAGTCTGTTAAGCCGACCCTTGTAAGCCTAAAAAAATTTAGGGCCAGGCCACTTCTTTAATATGTAAAATGATAAATTAGGTTTAAAAAAATTAACCCTTTTTACCTCTAAATAAAAGGGTTAGCCCATTTAGGTCCTCTTATATATATATATATATATATATATTAAATTTAATATAAAAAATAAACACAACATATTAAAAGTAAAAGAATTAGAAAACTAAAAACCCTAGCTTGCCTCCTTCATAGTCGTTTGATTTCTATCATTCATGCTTTTTGCATGGTTTTGAGTTGAATGGTAAATTATTATTTACTTTGAATACTTTTGCATATTTTAAATATATTGAAATTATGTTTTTGGTTTATTATCTGTTGTAAATAATGATGAAGAAGAAAGAATGTATGAAAAACTTAATATCTTTACCACTGATAAGGCTTCA